TTCAAATCTTTTCGCATTCGGGTTTTTCTTTATTTTTATAATATATTTTTTTATTTACAGCTTTTTAGTTTTGGTCAATTAGACATTTTCAGTTTATTTATGTTTATTTAACAAGCGGGTCACCCTCACTTCGCTCGGATTCGCCTCTAGAAAAACAAAACCAAATCTGTCCCACTGGAACCGTACATTTTTCCAGGATAATAAGTAGCCTATGTGTTATTCTGGTGTATGAGCTATTTTCTTATAAAGTTTCATTAAACCATTTAATAGTTTTTACGTGAAAGAGTAACAAACATTCATACATCTATAAATTCAGACATCCTGACAAATTTTCGTATTTATAATTTTAGTAGAATTTCTTATCCTAAATTACTTTTCATATATCAAATTATACATATTTTTGTAATCGCCTCTTAAAAATGATACCCACTCGATTGAATCGGACGAAGCAATTTTTTACAAGACACAAGTTAACGCCTTAGATCCGCCATTTTAATTTTTAATGATATCTATAATATACCCTATGACACTTGCGTTTAAATCAAGACGAATCTAATGACGTATGAATTATCAAATCGGTTAAGCCTAATTACGAGTGAACATAAGGTCGGACACACATACAGGTCAAACACATAACCCTCCTTTGGGTTTCGCCGCAGTCGGTTAATAAACAGGATTGAAATGGTTGCTTACTAGGTACTATATTTAATATAAATGCGAACTTTAGTTTGTGCGTATATGTTTGTTATATCATACTGAACAGCTGGACGGTTTTCGATGAAATTTAGTACACAGATAGACTAGAGCCTGTATAATTGAAAATCAAACGAACTTACCAAGTGAAGTTCGATCACAATTATGTGAGCAGCTTCATTCGACGCGATTTGGATTCACATATTGTAGATGTATTTCTAACTATCAGCCTAGCACGGAATTTTATAGTTTTTTTTTTTTTTTAAGTAGCAACACTTTATTTCAAATATCCTACTTCCTAATCCCCACCTATCCATACTTCCTCTTTGCAATATTTCGTGTGGCTTGTCATTTAGTTTAAAGATTATTACCATTTTATATTTGTCGTTTTTAATTTGTTAAAACTAGGGCTGGGTATATACGAAATTATATTAAGTCCTTTTGAAGGTAGAAATGTAATTATGTTAATATTTTATTATGTAGGGTGGGTTTATATAAATCGCGTCGAATGAAGCTGCTCACATAATTGTGATCGAACTTCACTTGGTAAGTTCGTTTGATTTTCAATTATGTTTCGCAGCTTCATTCTTTGCGATTTGGATTCACATATTGTAGGATGTTCAGAGAAATATAGCAAATATAAAATGTAACTATGAATGTAATATGAAAACAGGTAAGTATTAAAAGACATGTAAGTATGAACATAAGTTTTATTTATCATTTTGTGTATTTAATTCTTTCTATACATTTAATTATATTTTAATTCTTAACATTTTCAGAGGAAAGTACCGAATGAGCAAAATTATCAACAATAATTTCTTTATTATAAAATCTGGCAAAAGTTGCAGATGATTGACTCCAACCGGCAGTCTTTCTAATTACATCTATATTAACACCAAGTTTGTTGGCTATGGACGTAGCTGCGTGTCGCGTACTATGTGCGGTAAAAATAGAAGTGTTTATGCCACTTTTATTAAGTGTATCCTTTATCCAGTGGCTTAAGGTCTGTGAAGTTAATTTTTTATATGGTTTTTTATAACTAATAAATAAGAAAATATGTTTAGAATCACGTAAGGAGCTAGTTTTATTTATGTAATCTAACAAACACTTTGCTGGGCATATACATTGTTTTTCATTATAGAATGGCAATTTCAGAATAGGTTGAAATGAATTTGGTCGAGATGTTTTTACAAGATCAGGAATTTTTATCATAATATGTGAGTCATGTACTTCAATATTAGGAATCTTTATCAAAGCTAGAGTCTGTACGCGATGTGCTGTGACCAGAGCCAACAAAATTATAACTTTTTTCGAGAGAATTTCAAGATCGAGACCTTCATGTGGCCACTGTGCAGACAAATAATTAAGAACAATACTAGGGTCCCACGTAATACTATATTTAGGTTGAGAAGGTCTAGTTCTGAAAACCCCTTTCATAAATCTTTTAATACAATCATCCTTAAGAATATTAGGAAATAATAGAGATAAGGCAGATTTGTGTGAATTTATTGTTCCATACTTAACTCCTTTATGAAAACATTCACTCATATAACAGGAATAGACATATAGGAAAAATCGTGATTTTTATTCTTACAAAACCCTTTTTTTTTTTTTTTTTTGTCGGGAAATGCATTTACGCATACCACCTGATCCCCCAGGTGGTGATGTGGGGCTCACCGGCTAGAAGAGCCGGTACTACCGACATTCCCCTCCCCTCCGCCTTAATGGGACGCCGCAGGATCGCTTGCACATAACTACTACGGCGCCCCGGCGGCAGGTCTGCCTAAATAGGCAGACCACCAAACCAATGGGGCTGCTCCACAGTCAACTCTGCTACGCCATAGAGGTACCCGGAGCAGCCCCATTAAACCTAACCACCGCCCACCGAAGTGGGCCACCTCCAATCGGCTGCAGAGGACAGGGAGAGCGGCAACGAAACACCGACACTCCTCTTCCCCTGCAGCCCCACCGCGTCCGCCATCAAACGGTGGCGGCCCCGTCTAGGCCGCGGAAGGTAGGGAGAACGGCGCACCGAAATACCGGCACTCCTCTCCCGCCGCGGCCTACTCCTCCGCCGGATGCGGGCCTGCGACCACAGTCCCGCAACCGGCACCCATCATCCGGTTGTGGGACCAAGCGGTCCCACCACCGGTGGCCGCAACGTCTTCGGCTCGAGTCCTAGACGAGCGGCCCCACCCAAGCCATTTGGTCCGCGCCGGATTTCTCCGGTACCACCCGCCGCCCTAAGCGGGTGGCATTCCCCTATCCGCCACCTGGGGACGCGCCCGGTAGGAGTTGGCTTCTCCCCCGGGATTCTTACAAAACCCTAACCAAGACCTTATGCAACTGTCATACTGTTTGTAAGTATTATCTGAAAGTGAATTCATTAGAATATCTACGGTTCTAGATGTCAGACCCATTTTTAAATATGTTTTCCTGACAACTTCGCGGCTACTAAGCACAAGGTCTGATGAAGATTGTGTGATGATCTGAAAGGAGAAGTTAGTAAATTAACGTTTGGCTCAAAATATATACATGGTGAACAAATTAATTTATTAAATAAGGGGAACCACGGTTGTGTAGGCCAGTATGGAACAACTAATACACCTTCTGCTTTATCTGATATTATTTTTCGCAAAACTTTCAATATTAAAATAAATGAAGGAAAGGCATAAAAAAATATGTTTTTCCAGGACACAGAAAAAGCATCAACAGCTAGTGCATCGGGATCTCTTTTCCAAGTAATATATTTTTTACATTTTGCATTACACCGACTTGCAAATAAATCAATATCAAAATCACCAAAATTTATCGCAATTTTTTGAAATGCATAGTCTGCCAATTCCCATTCTGTGTCCTGAAACTTTTTAAGAGACAAAGAATCTGCTTCTGTATTATCCTTCGTATTAATATATGATGCAAAAATATACAATTTATGCGTCTCACACCATTCCCAAATATCTTTGCTTATTTGACAGAGATGAGGATATTGCACACTTCTCATTCTGTATAAACAGAACACGAAATGGCGGTTGTATTATCAATACGTAAAAGAATTTCTTTGCCAAATAAATTTTTTGTGAACACTTTTAATGTGAAAAAAGCTGCTTTTAATTCTAACTCATTAATGTGTAGACAAGTTTCCTCGAAATTCCAAAATCCATGGACTTTTTTACTACCACAATAACCACCCCATCCAGTGAGAGAAGCATCAGAAAAAATCTCTAAGTCATAATTGTTAAATCTAAATAGACAGTAAGAATTATCTATATTAGCTAACCACCAATTTATATCTGGTTTTAAACTATCAGGTACATTAATTATTTGATCATAAGAAGAATTTTTAAGTAGACACATATATTTATGGTACTCAAACTGCTTTGTATGTAACCAGGAATATTCTACTGCAGGGCAAACAGATATTAACAAACCTATAAATCTCGCAAAATCACGTAATTTACATTTCTTTAATCTGACAAATGTCAATAAGATTTCTTTTACTTTATATTTTTTATCATCGGGTAGTTGTAGAAACATATTTTTTGAATCGTAAACAAAACCTAAAAATTTACATTGTTGTTTAGGTATTAAGGAACTTTTAACAGTGTTAATGATGAAACCTAATGATATTAACAATTTTTTAATGTTATGAACATTATTCTGACACTCTTGAAAACTTTCTCCAAAACATAAAAGATCATCGAGATAAATTACTGACAAAATATTATATTTACTACGAATATATTCTATGACAGGTTTTAGAAGCTTTGTGAATACATATGGTGCAGTGCATAAACCGAATGGTAAACAGGTGAATTCGTAAAGACAGCCGTTATACATAAAACGTAAAAACTTCCTGTGATATTTATTTATATTAATTAAAAAATAAGCGTCTTTCAAATCTAACGCCATATAACAGTTTTTAGTTATCAACTTTGATGCAGTGCGATAATCTTCCATCTTGAAATGATCTTTTTTAATATATTTATTTAACCTTTTTAAGTTTAAAATTAACCTTTTTTCGCCATTAGGCTTAGGAACTAGAAATATTCGAGACAAAAATTCAAAATTTTCATGACTACATTTATATATAGCTCCAATTTTTAATAATTTTGCAATTGGTTTTTCATAATCATATGATTCAATTATAGAATCAGAATATATTAAAGGACAATTTACTTGCATTGGTAAAGAAATAAAGGGAATTCTATATCCATCAATCCAAGATAAAACTGTGGGATCACTAGTGATCTTATACCAATTAGATATAAATAACTTTAATCGGCCTGCGTACGGTACCTCATTTATTTGCGAGCCGACCTGCGTATCGGCAGAGGTGGTTGGTGTGAAGAGGGCGGCGGTGGTGGAGGCGGCCGCTGCATCCAGTGAGTCTGCCGTTGCGAACTGCTGTTCTGGTGCCGTGGTGGCAGGACTGCATACGGCCTCCCTGCATGTTGCCTGCCTGTTGTCTTTTGATGCAGGGGCTTGTAGTTTAAATTATTCTTGCTGTTAAAAGATTTATTATTAGAAAAGTTAGCCCTAGAAAATGGTGCTTGTGTCACCTTTAGTGCTTCAGCAGAGCGTTGTACAGTTTTTGCTGTCTTAAGTTTTTCTGACATGTTATCTCCGAAAAGAAACTTGTCAGCTTCAGAGTTCGCCAATGTATCTTTTAAGCTAGTATTGATGGAAGCAATGACAAACTTTCGCCTTGTTTTTGTTTCGTCATGATGCATATCACATAAAATTTTACAAACATCACTTTAACTTAACTTTAACTTTTTAAAACTTTTTGTTTTAACCCTTGCTCACAATTTGTAGAAATAATAATTTCAATGGATTGACCTAGCGCAGAAAGAGCATTGGCGAATCGTTTTCGTCTATTCATTAAAGAAGTGTCTCTTTTTATAAATTGTTCAAGTAAAGCAACTTTTACTTCAGGATTTAAAACAGGCGGCACGAGTAACTCGCAGTTACTAGGAACTAAATATTCCTTGGCCAATAGATCTTTTTGTTCCTTATTTAATCCTTTCTTTAATACCTCAATCCATCTGGCAGGTATGCCTTATGGATAGGTTTTCCTAGCGTGGTGTCTGATTCAGGTGCATTCCCAAGTATTTCTAAAATACCCTCATCTAGCTTATCGTCAACAGTTTTTATTGGTTCTGTAGCTGGGTCTGCAGGGAAAAGCTGAGAACCATCTTCATGCTCAGAATTGTGTGTCTCCACTGTATGGGGCAAACAGGGTGCATCACATGGTGTGAGCACACCTGTCATCTTGTCTGCTTGTAGAAACTGGTCTTCGCATGGACCTGTGAATATTTATCACATATCACTAAAAACGATCTCAGGATCGTCGAATGTGGCAAGCATGATGGTAAAAACGCATCAGCTGCCTTATATGACGGTAAAAACGCATCAAATTAAGCGTGACGGTAAAAACGCATCACTTGTGTTTATACATTTGAATTTGTAGTATATCAAATTTTAACGGTAAAAAATTAAATAGTGTAAAGTCAAAGTGAACAAAAAATAAAATTATGCAATAAAAATTGGAATATATTAATTTAGCAAAATTTTTATTTACATTTACCGTCAGTTTTTGAGAAAAAAAGTACTTACTCTGAATATCTTCGTCTGATGAAATTATTCTTCGACGATTCTGCAGTTTACTTTCCAATTTTCTTATCTTTTTTCGAATAGATTCTTCACTTTTGTCACGTTTTCTTTTCTTCCCCATTTTGATTGAGTCGAGTTTTGACGTGCGTAGGCTTCAGCACGAAAAAACATAATGACAAGCCACACGAAATATTGCAAAGAGGAAGTATGGATAGGTGGGGATTAGGAAGTAGGATATTTGAAATAAAGTGTTGCTACTTAAAAAAAAAAAACTATAAAATTCCGTGCTAGGCTGATAGTTAGAAATACATCTACAATATGTGAATCCAAATCGCAAAGAATGAAGCTGCGAAACATAATAATACAAAGGCTACTGTTAGTTATAAAATTTGACAAAAGGTGGCGCGGCGCTACTTGTGTGTACCTATGTTATTATAAATAGAAAATCCACCTAGGGATGCACCCGAGAGAAATGAGGGTAAGTCGCTAGTATTTGTATAGATTGAGAATTTTGAGGATAATAGACGTGTAGAATAAAACAAAACGATTTTTAAACTAAATATTTATTGTATTACACTGACTCGTTAAAATTGTAAAGCTTTCTCTTTTTTCTGTAATCGATTAAAAAATAATGACTGACTGAATGACTGAATAATGATTGGGTAAAAGAATTATTTTAAACGTTTTATATACATTTATTCTATTTTAACATTTAATATATTCGTAAAAAACAATTCCATAAAACATTCTAATACAATTATTTTCTGTACCCCAAGTAATAAGAGTACATTTCGGCTAAATTTGTTTTTTATGCCTTGTACGTTTATTTATAAAAAAATATTTCTCGACGCGTCGCGACGTTGTAAAGTCCTCCTATTTGAGATATATACAATTACTAGCAGAACCCGCGGCTTCGCTCGCGCTAAGACTACAAAAAACTCTAAATAGGTGGTTTCATATAAACTTTTATACCCTATTTTACCCCCTTATAACATGAATTTCGAAAAATGCTAAAACACGTATTTATTTAGTTTTATTGAAAGGAATTAATACCAAGTTTCAAGTTCTTCTGATCATTAATATTTTTTTGAATTGTATTATAACGTATTTAACCGTGGGAATTAGATAATCTCCCGCGGTAAAAAGTAGCCTATGTCACTCTTCAGCCCTCCGACTATCTCCACACAAAAAATCACGCCAATCCGTCACTCCCTTTCGACGTGAAAGAAGGACAAACAAACAAACAAACAAACAAACAAACAAACAAACAAACAAACAAACAAACAAACAAACTATACGGGTAGTATCTCTACAAACCAACCTCCATATAAAAATCGGGTAGCCTGATAACATAGTCTAGATTTAATTTAAATTTAATAAAGCCTTAAACTTTGTTTTAATTTAATACTCATATTGTATTGTTGTACTTTTTTCCTTAATAAAAATGACTAACCTGAGCATTACTTTTTTTTACAAAAATCAATTAATCATTTGCACTGCCTAAATATATTTTTAATAGGTGTTTTCTGAAATTTATAAGTATTTTACTCATGACGCAAGTTTTAAGTAATGTAGATTTCCAGTTAAATAGTAGGTAGTCCCCAGACTAATATTTTAGCCAAATTTTTAGTTACATTACCTTCGGGTAAAATTTTTAGTACCATCGACTCACTCACTTCGCTTGAGTTAGTCCCTAGATATGTTTAAGCAGTTAGTATGGTCACTATGTATTAGACTGATACAAAAAATCGACTATTATTATTTTTTTGAAGTCCCTTCTAATCTAGTATTTTAATAAATTTAGGGAAGTGCGAAAAAATGCCTGTAAAAACTAGAATTCTTAATATTAATATTTAGAAGTCGCGCATCGCATATTTCTGTCTTCCATAGAAATAAAAAGGGAATATATTTGTTTAATTTCAAAATTTTATATTTCAAAACTCAAATTATTAACGATATTAAATGAACAAAACATATTCTTGTAGGAAATTAAGCGCTGTACAAAGAACGTCGTTTATCATTTTTCTACAAACCTACTTGTTCAAAAGTTATTCAAACTGAAAGTTTAAAAAAAGTGTAATTATCACACTTTTTCCAATTTTAGGTAAAATGATAAAAAATCTCTATTTAATATTATAAAATCTTCCTTGTAAATTCTACAAATTGTGTTTTCCTGTCAGAAAAAAAACAGTAAAAACATTCTCAATTTATTAAGTTTCTTTTCGTAGTATTCGATTACTATAATATGATTTTCTCGAAGCAGACATGTCACTATCCTTGAATTAGTCTAACAACAATTAAAATATAAAGGGAATTTGGAATATACGTATGTATTTGTCCTACATTATATATTTATGTATGTGTATTTTTGAGCATGTATATATGTAATATTAATTGTAACGTCCTGTTTACGGTTTCATTAAATTAATCCTTTCACCGCAGGTTACAAGAAGGTCACAAGAATAATTAAAGCAATACGATCGAAAATATTAATAATAGTAGTAAATTAATTTTAAATAAAACTATCTTTTCGGATTTTTCGCGGATTTATTTTAATTTTTGGTTCCTGATATTCAGAATTCTTAGTACGAATAGTAGTAAGTTCATTTATAAAAAATATGTGGTTTATAATTCAGCCCTTTCAGCCAGGTGGGTGGATATCAATGAAAATTTATTTTGGTAAGGTGTAGGTTTAACTAGATTCGTTTGGGTGTGTTTAAAGTCATAGTTTCCTAAATTACGTAATATAGATATTACATGTCCTAGGATAATCGACAAAAAGAAAAATTTACCCCTTTTTTTGGTTTCCAATGAGTGATTTTTAGTTGCAGGAGTTTCTATATGCAAAAAAAATAATCTTAACCTACCGAGCTGCGCCGAGCTCCTTATTCTACTTATTTATTAGTCTATTCGCCCTTCCTTATAATATGTATATTTTATAACGGACCAATACTCGTAATAATTTTTTTATTCATCCTATTAAATGACGAATAGAGACTCCGATTATTTTTACATTAAAAATAAAATCATTGGTATAATCTATTGGAAGACTATTTATTAAAAATGATTTTAATTCAAAAATATTTATTTCAAATCTTTGGAGCTGTAACGTTTTATGTATCTAGTTATTATTATTAAATTTCGAATTCGAAACTGAACACAAATAAAGTGCCCTATGACATCACTTATTTATAATACAATCATTCTCATTCGTTGAAGGTTATGTATAATTTAGTATATATTATTAACTAGCGACTCACCCTTCCCCCAACGTGCGTTCTCCTTGTCGTAGTGGGGGGCCCAGTAGTGCCCGGCAATACAGCCGGGCGCGAAGCCAAGAAACGCACAGCGAGGTGGCCCGGTTCGGTGGGCGGTGTACCATGCGGGTTGCTCCTCGTACTTTTCTGATAGCAGAGTGGACCTTGGAGCCACACCGTGGTTGTTGTGGTCTGCTTCGGCAGACCTGCCGTCGGGGCGCCGTAGTTGAATGCGTAAGCGATCCTGCGACACCCCATTAAGACGGGGGAAGGTTTTGTTGGGTTTTAGTGGGTAGTACTGGCTTCGTCGGTGAGTCCCACACTTCGTGCGTAAATACATTTCCCAACGATAAAAAAAACCGACTCACCCTCGCTTCGCTCGGGTTCGTCCCTACTTATCTACGATTTAACGTTTAGTATCGATTTCTCAGAGATGAGATATTTTCCCGCAGTAAAAAGTATCCTATATGTTGACTCGGATAACCATCTATCATCATACCAAATTTCATTAAAATCCCTCCAGTGGTTTTTCCGTGATGCGGTAACAGACAGACAGATAGACAGACTGACAAAAAATCTAAAATTTATATATAGATTCGGCCTCTGTATCTAGAATAATATCTATTTCAATAAGATCTTCGAAAAAATATTTAATGTACAGATTCGGCTTAGTTAGAATTTTATTATATGTATAGATTACTCCTTTTAGTGTAGCTTAGCCATCTTCTAATTCGAATTCAATACATTAGAAAACATATTATAACTGAGTAAATCCGTGTCAATCATTTGAGTTCTTGTGATTGGAAAATATTTTTATATAGGTAGATAATTTTTATTTGATAAGTTTGATTTTTTTAATATGGATATTTCTCATGTTTATTAACACCTCCAGGTAAATTTCTAAGAAATTAATTAAAATTCTAAAAAATCTACTTTTAACTGACACGAAGGCGTGTCTGCGGTAGTGGAAGGATTAAATAAAAGACAGCCTAAGAACACAAGGTTAATTAATCTTCTTCGGGATCTGTAATAGTGAAATCAGAAATTTTTGGTAATTTTAAACTTAACAATTATAACCAAAAAAAAATAATCAAAAAAAAGAAATATTGGTTTAATCCAAAAAACTTTTACAAAAATGTATAAATCCAAAACATGTATTAAGTTCCACATTTTCAACCGACTTCAAAAAGGAGGAGGTTCTCAATTCGACTGTATTTTTTTTTATGTTTGTTACCTCAGAACTCCGTCATTTATTAACCGATTTGGACAATTTTTTGTTGTTTGAAAGTGTATACTTTCAAATTGATCCCATTTAAATTTCAAAAAACAATACCACCCCTAAGGGTGGATAAATAGCTAATGATGAATTTGACCTACTTCTAATTGTCATGTTAACTTTATATTTGCAAGTGTTTCTATTTCGTTTGATAGTACAGTGGTTCGGTATTGTTGACCTAATCTGATGGTAAGGCCAGAAGGTGGATAGGTGGAACTCTTCAACGGCTAATAGTAGATACTTTGAGTTTAGGCTTATTTTGTTTGATTTGACAAGCCTAACACGTTGGAATTCTTACTTTGCTACTACTGTCTACACTAAAAAGGGAAAAATAAAAACTTTTTAACAAAAAAATAAAAACCGACTTCAAACAAAAGCACTAAAAAGTAAAAAATAACTGATTGGTAGTTTTCATTTACTATACATACCTAATCAAATATTTCCGAAGTCGGTGTGCTTTGGCTAAGTAATTAAAGCCTACCTATTAAATACATACCTAATCAAATATTTTCGAAATCGGTGCCAGCCCATACAAAGCAAAGCACACCGACTTCGTAAATATTTGATTAGGTATGTATAGTAAATGAA